GTTGAGTTCTTTATTTGATTCTCCACTTGGTCGCTGTTGGTGTATAGAAGAACTACTGATTTGTGTACGTTAATCTTGTATTTGGAAACTTTGCTGAATTCTTGTATCAGTTCTAGGAGCTTACTGGAGGAGTCTTTAGGGTTTTCAAGGTAAATGATCGTATCATCAGCAAACAGTGACAATTTGACTTCCTCTTTACTGATTTGGATGCCCTTTATTTCTTTCTCTTGTGATCACTCTGGCTAGGACTTATGTTGAAGAGGAGTGGTAAAAGTGGGCATCCTTATCTTGTTCCTGTTCTCAGAGGGACTGCTTTCAGCTTTTCCCCATTCAGTATTATGTTGGCTGTGGGTTTGTCATAGATGGCTTTTATTACATTAAGGAATGTCCCTTGTATGCCAGTTTTGCTGAGAGTTTTAATCATAAAGCGATGCTGGATTTTGTCGAATGCTTTTTCTGCATCTATTGAGATGATCATGTGATTTTTGTTTTTAATTCTGTCTATGTGGTATGTCACATTTATTGACTTACATATGTTAAGGCATCCCTGCATTCCTGGTGTGAAACCCACTTGATCATGGTGGATTATCTTTTTGATATGTTATTGGATTCGGTTAACTAGTATTTTGTTAAGGATTTTAACATCTGTGTTCATCAAGGATATCAGTCTGTAGTTTTCTTTTTTAGTTATGTCTGTCCCTGGTTTTGGTATTAGAGTGATGCTGGCTTCATAGAATGAATTAGGGAGGGTTTCTTCTTTCTTTATCTTGTGGAATCGTGTCAAAAGGATTGGTACCAATTCTTCTTTGAATGTCTGGTAGAATTCTGCTGTGAATGCATCTGGTCCTGGACTTTTTTTTTATTGGTAATTTAAAAATTACCATTTCAATCTCGCTGCTTGTTATTGGTCTGTTCAGGGTATCTAATTCTCATGCTTTACTGACTGGGCTAGCTGAGTGCCTCAAGGTATCTAATTTTTCCTGATTTAAGCTAGGAGAGTTATATTTTTCTAGGAATTTATCAGTCTCTTCTAGGTTTTCTACTTTGTGTGCATAAATGTAGTAGCCTTGAATAATCTTTTCTATTTCAGTGGTGTCAGTTGCAATATCTCCTGTTTCCTAGTGAGGTTATTTGGATTTTCTTTCTTTTTTTCTTGGTTAATCTTGCTAGTGGTCTATCAATTTTATTTATCTTTTCAAAGAACCAGCTTTTTGTTTCATTTGTCTTTTGTATTTTGTAGTTGTTGTTTCAATTTCATTTAGTTCTGCTCTGATCTTGGTTATTTTCTTTCTTCTGCTGTGTTTGGGTTGGGTTTATTCTTGTTTCTCTAGTTCCTTGAGGTGTGACCTTAGAATGTCAGTTTGTGCTCTTTCAGTCTTTTTGATGTAGGCGTTTAGGGCTATGAACTTTCCTCTTAGCATCACCTTTGCTGTATCCCAGAGATTTTGATAGGTTGTGTCATTATTGTTATTCAGTTTGAATAATTTAATTTTCGTCTTGATTTCATTTTTGACCCAGTGCTCATTTAGGAGCAGGTTATTTAATTTTCATCTATTTGCATGGTTTTGAAGGTCCCTTTTGGAGTTGATTTCCAGTTTTATTCCACTGTAGTCTGAGAGAAAGTTTGATATAATTCCAGTTTTCTTAAATGTATTGAGGCTCGTTTTATGGCCTATCGTATGGTCTGTCTTGGAGAAAGTTCCATGTGCTGTTGCATAAAATGTTTATTCTGCAGTTGTTGCACGAAATGTTCTGTATATATCTGTTAAGTCCATTTGTTCCAAGGTATAGTTTAAATCTATTGTTTCTTTGTTGACTTTCTGTCTTGATGACCTGTCTAGTGCTATCACTGGAGTATTGAAGTCCCCTACTATTATTGTGTTGCTGTCTATCTCATTTCTTTGGCATTAGTAATTGTTTTATAAATTTGTGAGCTCCAGTGTTAGGTATATATATGTTTAGGATTGTGATATTTTCCTGTTGGACAAGGCTTTTTACCATTATGTAATATCCTTCTTTGTCTCTTTTAACTGCTGTTGCTTTAAGGTTTATTTTGTCTGATGTAAGAATAGCTACCCCTGCTAGTTTTTGGTATCCATTTGCATGAAATGCCTTTTTCCACCCCTTTAAGTTAAGTATGAGTCCTTATGTGTTAGATGAGTCTCCTGAAGGCAGCAGATAGTTCGTTGGTGAGTTCTTATCTATTTTGTGGTTCTGCGTCTTTTAAGTGGAGCATTTAGGCCGTTTACATTCATTGTTAGTAGTGAAATGTGAGGTACCCTTGCATTCATTGTACTCGTTGTTGCCTGAGTACTTTGGTTTCTTTTGTTTTTGCTTTTTCACTTGTATTTTTGTTTTATAGGTCCTATGTGATTTATGCTTTAAAGAGGTTCTACTTTGATGTGTTTCCAGGATTTGTTTCAAGATTTAGAGCTCTTTTTAGCAGTTCTTGTGGTGGTAGGTTGGTAATGGCAAATTCTCTCAATATTTGTTTGTCTAAAAAAGGCTGCAATTTCCTTCATATATGATACCTACATATATGATGGCTAGTTTCACTGGATACAAAATTCTTGGCTGGTAATTGTTTTGTTTGAGGAGGCTGAAGATAGGGCCCCAGTCCCTTCCGCATTGTAGGGTTTCTGCTGATAAATCTGCTGTTGATCTGATACGGTTTTCTTTATTGGTTACCTGGTGCTTTTGTCTCAGAGCTCTTAAGATTCTTTCCTCCATCTTAACTTTGGATAATCTGATGGCAATGTGCCTAGGTGATGATCCTTTTGTGATGAATTTCCCAGAGCTTGAGCTTCTTGTAGTTGAATGTCTAGGTCTCTAGCAAGACTGGGGAAATTTTCCTTGATTATTCCCCCAAATATGTTTTCCAAGCTTCTTCCTCAGGAACACCGATTATTCTTCAGTTTGGTCGTTTAACATAATCCTAGACTTCTTGAAGGCTTTGTTCATATTTTCTTATTCTTTTTCTGTTTGTCTTTGTTGGATTGGGTTAATTCTGAGATCTTGTTTTTGAGCTTGGAATTTCTTTCTTCTACTTATTCAATTCTATTGCTGAGACTTTCCAGAGCATTTCACATTTCTAAAAGTGTGTCTGAGGTTTCCTGATGTTTTGACTGTTTTTTCTTTATGCTATCTATTTCCTTGAATATTTCTCCCTTCACTTCTTATATTTTTCTTTTGGATTTGCTTGCTTTGGGCTTTGCCTTTCTCTGGTGCCTTCCTGATTAGTTTAATAACTAACTTCCTGAATTCTTTTTCAGGTAAATCAGGGATTTCTTCTTGGTCTGGATCCATTGCTGGTGAGCTAGTGTGATTTTTTGGGGGTATTAATGAGCCTTGTTTAGTCACATTAACGGGATTGTTTTTCTGGTTCCTTCTCATTTGGGTAGGCTCCGTCAGAGGGAAGGTCTAGGGCTGAAGGCTGTTGTTCAGATTCTTTTGTCCCGCTGGGTGTTTCCTTGATGTAGTACTCTTCTCCCCTTTTTCCTCTGGATGTGGCTTCCTTCCTATGAGCAGAACTGCTGTGATTGTTGTCTCTCCTGGGTTCAAGCTACCCAGTGAGTCTACCTGGCCCTGGGCTGGTACTGGGGGTTGTCTGCACAGAGTCTTGTGATGTGAACTGTCTATGGGTCTCTTAGCTGTGAATACCAGCACCTGTTCTGGTGGAGGTGGCGGGGCAGGGGAGTACAATGGAGTCTGTGAGGGTTCTTAACTTTGGTGGTTAATGCTCTATTTTTGTGCCGGTTGGCCTCCTGCTGGGAGGTGGCGCTTTCCAGAGAATATCAACTGTAGTAGTATGGAGAGGAACTGGCGGTGGGTGGGGCCCTAGACCTCCCAAGAAGGCCCTTTGCCTTCAGCTATCAGGGTAGGTAGGGAAGGACCATCAGGTAGGGGCAGGGCTAGGCATGTGTGAGCTCAGACACTCCTTGGTTGGGTCTTGCTGTAGCTGCTGCTGTGGGGGATGGGGGTGAAATTCCCAATACCCCCTCTTCTTATAAAGAAACCAGTCACATTGCTTTAGGGCCCACCCTAATGACCCTATTTTAACTAAATTACCTTTAAAAGTCCTATCTCTAAATATAGTCACCTTTTGAGGTACCAGGGTTAGGGCTTCAGCATAAGAATTTGGGGGAAGTAGGAGGCACACTTCAGTCCATAATTCTATATATCATTTATAACAAATTGTAAATGACAAAGTGAATGTTGAAGTAAATGTTTATGAATTATCAATGGTTATTATAAACTTTTATAACATTCTAAAGAACTCCAGCTGGGAGAGAATGTAGAGGATTGTAGATAGATTAGCACTAATTTGTTTTTTCCCTGAGAAACTCAGACTCTATGACCTATTGCACAATTGAGTCTATTTGTATATAACAAAGAGTATTTTTCATAGGTATTAATCAAATATCAATGTCAAGTCAAATATTTAAGAGTTAAGTGAAGAGGGATTAGAATTAAAGGTGTTAGAATTCAGATTAGTGGGCAAAAGATACAAAAACTTTGCTCACTGACATTCATAACTGCCTGTAGATGGAACAGCAGACCTGAAGATTGGCTAGTTCTTTGTGACTGAAGTTCTGAATTTTTTGTGCTGTTATAGAGTAAATTTATGTATTGTTGAGTGTGGTTCTGGAAGGTGATGATTTTTCAACTTGAAGGTTCTCTATACTGTGTGGGTTTTTTGGCTTTAAAAAGGTTAAGAACTTCCCTTTATATAATGAAAACACAACAAGTAAATATTATTTGTTAGTACTTTAAGATGTAGATTTATCATTTAAAAAGTCTTTATGTTAAATATTCTGAGGACCATACTGTTTTTCTTTTCCTTCTCCCTCTAGTGGGCAGAAAATATTCTTAAAATATAGCATGGAATAATTTATTGCTATTGGATGTATCATAATATACAGTCTCAGTCTCAGCTTTTTTGAAAACTAAAAATGTTAACTTTTCAGAATCATTAAAGCAAACGCTTTACTTCTTTCTAGGCATAATAGTGGATCCTTGAATGTTGAAGATGTCCTTACCAGCTTTGACAATACAGGAAATGTTTGTAAGTTACACATTCACTCTATATAAATATATTTAGTGTTTTACAAAGTGAATTTATAGTTGATGTTTTCTTCTCACTAATATTTTTTATGCTCACTAAATGTATGCATATATATAAAATAGAAAGTTTTACTGTCTTCAGCTGAAAAATATGTCTTTTATAAGGTACATCGACAAAATGGGATACTGCAGTTTTTACACTTTGCAGGTGTGTGTGTGTGTGTGAGAGAGAGAGAGAGAGAGAGAGAGAGAGAATGTAGGTCAGAAAGGACACTGGACACTGAAGTACTGTCCCTTTTATTTTTGTTTACATTTTGACCTCAGTGAATTCAATAGTGGGGCTGTTTCTTCTTTCTTTGCTTTGTTTTGGGTGCTTTCTTTGCCATTTCTTGCTTGTTTACTTTCACTGTAGAATAAACCGAGAACATATTTTTCTTGATGCTACTATACATTAATACCAGAGTGCTTTTGTTTGACGCAGTATTACAATATTATAGAATATATTGCCTTTTCATCCAAGCTTCTGATTAAGTGGTGATAGATTTGTCCACTGAGAAAATCACTTAAATATTTCTTATAATTCTTGTAATTAATTTCATGTGATGAAAGAAATCAGCCAAGAATACCTTTATGTCACTGAGTTAAACAGAATACCATCGTAAGAGCTATGGACTTTTTATGTTTTTTGTATAGGACATTTCTCTTAAGATAGTGAATTGTCAATGAAATATGACCATTTTAAATGTGAAAATAGTACTTATACTCTTTTTCTCAAAGAAAATTTCGGAAAAGTTAACTATTGTCTGAATTTAGGTAGTGTCTTTGGCTTAACAATGCAGCTTTATCAAATGAATAGATTTGTGTAGAATTATGTTCAGTAATACTCAAAAGTACTTTTGTTCTTATGTCCACATTATGATAAGCTTTTGATTTTATAGAAAAATGCTTGTGATTCACTAAGGAATCTATAAATGTCCTTAAATTATCCTAAATACCTAAAATAATATAGGTTTCTTTTTCATGGATAGTGACAGATGTGCCTTTTTTAAAATTTTCTTTCTTTTTTTAATTTTCCAAACACCAACTTGAACCAGAATGCCTTTTAGTTTCTCCATGTTGGCATTTAGTGAATTCTTTCCCACTTAGGCATATCTCATATTTTTATTAGGTCTAAGCAAGGACTGGGCAAAGCATATCAATGATGGTTGAGGATACATACTCTTTTAGTTCTGGGGTAATGTTAAATATCATTAAGTTAGCCTTACACATATGTAATTTCAGAAAATGATTCTAGAATGTTAAATGTGGAATTTCTGATTCAGTAATGTAAAAGTCAAGTATTGTTCCCAGTTGACTCAGTATGAAATAGGGCCCCTAGCTGGCAGCATTATGTAATATAAAAATAATTTCCTAAAGGCATCGATTATTATTTTAGGCATGAATAACTGTCTTATCCTTCTCTAACATTGTTTCCCGTCAACTTGTTCCATACCCCGTGTTGTTGTTGCATGAACAAACGGAAAGGTTGCATATTAAGGGTGTTTTTTTTATTGTTGTCTGTTGTTCGGTAGAAAGATTTAAGACTTTGGAATGATACCCACCTGCATTTGACTTTTGGCTCTGAAATTCATCTTAAGCAATTTGTGTCATCTCTATGAACCTCAACTGTTTTCATCTTTTAGGACTGGCTATATTATAAAGAAAGTACATAACATACCGCATGGCTCAGAGTTGATATTCAATAAATGGAAGCTATTAATTATTAGTGGCGATGAGTACCTATATAACCTCTTTTGTTTTTTTTCTAATAAAGAAGATAATATTATTAGGGTTATTCTGTTTTATGCTATTTTAATTGAACTAACAAGGCAGAAAAATTAGATAAAATTAGCAAAATAGCTGTTTATTAAAATGCCTCATTATAAATATTGTCTTAAAAACCTGAATATATTGTTAAGTGATAGAAGTGGTGACAAAAATAAGACCTATTAAAATATGTTGGTTTGTGTACTTTTTATGTTTACTCTTTTTATTTGAATGGAAAAATCTGTATGTTTCATTTAATGATAAATTGGTAAAGTCCTGTTCCAATAAAGTAAATATTGATTATGACTTTTATATAATCTTGGACGTAAAGTAACCATGGACTGAAAAAGTAATTTTTCACTTCATGCCTCAAAAATTTGATTTTCTTATGCCAATAGTGATATTGGGTTTGTGACTAGAAAACCCAGCAGAGGGCGCCACAATCATAATTCTTTGTCATAGCCCAATATAATTAGGATAAATATCTCAAATAATAACCCTAAGCTTTTACCATGTTGACATATGAAGATGTATCTAAATATTTCTATTTGATTTATTTCTAATCTAATCTATTCAGTAATTCAAAAATACAAAAAAATAGATTTTTCCTGGCTGATTTTTTAGTTTAATTTTTTAAAATAACAGTTTAATTTTTCTACTTCTAGCTTTAAATAAAGAAGTACTTTTGATAGAGAGCTAAAGTTCCATACGAGAGTGTCAGTTTGGAAATCACCACCATGGTAGTACATTAAAGGACAATTAGAATGAGGAAAAAAGTTTCTAATAGATGAGAGAACTATTAGATGGAATTATCTATTTTAGGAATTTGTTTCTAGGTTAATAATGCTTCCTAGTAATAGAAAAAACAGCTTAATTAAAACATTTTCTAGTCACAAAAACCTGATATGTGTAGATAAAGTAAAAACGGTATGGTCATGGTTTAGTAGAACCATTAATTTCAATTTTAAATTCATTTTGAAAATCAGGGAATGGTTGTATTCATTGTAAATTTTCAAAGATGAAAATATCAGTCTTACCTTCTGAATTGGTTTATGCTGTAAGTGAAAAGACATGGAAAAATCTCTTTAATTTTGGAAAATAAATGAAACCTCTAGATAGCTTATTTCCTATTAGAAAAGATATTTTTTTTGTACTTACTTTTTTTGTTTAGAAGTTTTGTGATTGTAAATGTATGAATTGCAAAGTGTTTTATATTTTTGAGGTAACTTTTCGTTGCCTGAATTTCTTTGAATGTTGTGGGAAGAAATTAAGAGGAATCTCGTACAGAATGAATCACTTCTGCGTATTGATTTATTGCTGTGTGATATACGACCCCAACCTTCTTTTTATGTGTTTATATTTACTATGGTGGAAAACAAACCATTTTGAAAGTGCTTACCTTTAACTAGGAATAGGTATGTATATTTCCTTCTTTGGTTTCTACTACTTGAGAACCTACTTTCTTTTGAGATATCAAAACTTCTTGGTCAGGAGGTTGTATCTACTATTGATTCATTGTGCCTGGAAAGACATGCTGGCAGGCTACCTAGGGAAAAGTATAGGATGACCTCTTTCACCTCAGATGAGGTACTGGCTGCTTCTGTGTTTCCTTTGATATGTTGCTCGGATACCTTGGATAACAAGGGAGTGCTCTATAAGCATTGTAGCAAATTTCTTGCTTCTGCTTTTTCTGTGGGCACGGGCTCCTTTCTAGCTAGTCCTCTGACCTCTGGTCAAAGAAGCTGCACCATGCTGTCTCTTCCAAAATCATTTTCCTTTTCTCCAAAGTCATTTCTTTCCACTACTGAAAGGAATTTTTACAAATGTAATTCTCCACAGTGCTTACTTGATCCAAATTTGGATATCATAGTATCTAATATAACTATTTGTTGTTTATAACATCTCATCTTATGCTTGGGTCTGTAATAGATTCATTTGAACATTTTTAGTACATCCTTCGTTTAGTAGTATGAACAGAAGTGTTAGTACTTCATATAATTTATTATAAACTATGTACAATATAATGTATATAATCCTGTAAAGGATAGGAGGTCAGTAGTTACATCATTTCAATAATTATCATTGTGAAACAGGATTCCTGGCAAATGTTGCAGCTTAAGTCTGGGGGATGTATTTGTAAAATTTCTCTACTACTCTTTGAAAAAAATTTTTTTTCCTGGTTGAGCTCCATGGCAGGACCCTGTGGTAGTTGGTGTCGCTTTATCTCCTGGAGGAATTTGTAGACCCTCTGCCATATATTACTCTACATCTGACAGTGATGATTTTTTTTTTCCCCAGTGAATTCTAAGACTGACCGGATTTTTTTTTTTTTTTTGAAATGGAATTTCACTCTTGTCCCCCAGGCTGGAGTGCAATGGTGCATTCGCGGCTTACTGCAACCTCTGCCTCCTAGGTTCAAGTGATTCTCCTGCCTCAGCCTCCCAAGTAGCGGGGATTACAGGCGCCTGCCACCATGTCCAGCTAATTTTTGTATTTTTCGTAGAGACGGAGTTTCACCATGTTGGCCAGGCTGGCCTCCAACTCCTGACCTCAGGTGATTTACCCACCACAGCCTCCCAAACTGCTGGGATTACAGGCGTGAGCCACTGTGCCTGGCCTGACCAGGATTTTTAATGCACACAGCTATAGACTTTGCTTCCTAGTCGTCTGATAGCAGGATCTGTTTGTCTGTTTGTGATGTATCTGAAACTGATCTCTTTTGGGGTAGTATCAGTTATTATTGAAAGAGAGACTCATCAAAATAAAAGCCAGGTGTGGTGGTATGTTCGGGTAGTCCCAGCTACTCAGAAGGCTAAGGCTGGATGATTGCTTGAGCCCAAGAATTTGAGGCAAGCCTGGGCAATATAGCAAGACTTTTTCTGTAAAAAAAGAAAATCAAATATTTATCTTTCTGGTTTTTCTAGAGGAAAAAAAATTATATGTTTTCACTTTTTACTTGTATTTAGGAAGCCAAAGGTAATAGTTTATTTGGAAATATGGCCTAAATTTTTAGTTTTTCTGTTTCATTGTTGTTACGTTATAAAGTTAGGGTTTGGAATGTTGGTGAAATTATCAAAGCTTCAAGAGTGTCAGCTTGGATTTTCGAATGTTATTCTTATTCAAATAAAGATGTCTATATACGTAGTGCATATGTATGTATATATGTATAAGTAGATATATAATGCATATATGTAG